ACAGGTTCCTAACATCATAGCTTGTTCCAGTTTCTCTGACCATGGAGTACACTGGAGTCACTGCAACTTTGTAGCTTCCTTCTGTGGTGATAGACTTGGATTACTTTAACTATTCAGGCATCAGGATAGTCTAGGAGTGGGTTACTGAAAATTGGCTTTGGGGCAGAGAAGTAAAAGAAACACAGAATGTTTTTCTGAAGCTGAAGTCTGTGTTAGTAATGACAGACATTTCCCCTCACCTCTTAGGTGCCTCAATTCTAGTAAATTTTTTTTGTGTATTTTACAGCTGTGCAATGAATAGAGAATTTTGCCACCAGTACACTGTGAAAGAGCCTGCACAATACATTTGAATGAATATAGGATATCCTTGGAGTATAACTTAAGTGAAGCTGCATGCAGAGGGGATCAGAGAGGTGAGAAATTCTTAATCTGGCCATGTTAAAGTCAATATAAACCTTTTGTGTGCTGGTGTTGGAAATATATATATGAAAAGAATAAAAGGGTGGGGTAGAACTCTGAACAACCCCCAAAGAACCCATCTCCTTGTCTTATGTATTATGAATGCATTCTTTAGACCATTGCTGGGTGGCACCAGACAGTGCTGTAGGCATCAAATGAAGTTATGAATTCCATTCATGTTCTAAATTTCTTTTACAGCGTTGGGAAGTTGCATTCACTGCTTCATCCAGTGACAACTCTGAGATGTAACCATGATGTCAACCTGGCCAGCAGGTGAGCACACAGCTCACATAAGAGAGGGGCTGAGGAACTGGGCAACACTTTAAAAACAAAACTGAGAGCTTTTAATATTTGTTTTTCATGTTTTGAGGTCTTCTTACAAACTTGCAACTTAAAATATTTCACTGTATACTGAATTAACTTATTATACCTGTAGGACAGTGTGAGGTTTGGGACAAAAATCATGTTTAAGTGGTTGGAACTGTTTTTTTTTTTTTTTTTTTTTTTACTTCTGTTATAATATTGACTGTTTAGAATACTTGACATAAAAGACACTCCAGCATAGCAGACTGTGGTTGATTGATGTTTTTTTAGTTAAATTCAACTAGTGGCTTTCCACAGACCTTTCAAGTAATCTTCCTCAATTAAATTAGGCACCATGTCAACTGAAAATATTGGGGAATACATCCATTTTGTCTCTGCTGTCCGTTTAGCCTGTTGGGTATTTGATTGCAGTAGAGTGGTTGTCCTGTATGAAATGATGCCAAAATGAAGCCCTGATCTTGAACAGGGCCTGTAAACAACACTGCAACATGTTATAACATTAATCTTTTGACATGGAGATGTTAGAATTTGGTGGGTGTATGTTAATTGAGGGGACACAGTTCTCTATAATTTGAGATATCCCCAGTCAAGGAGTTTTGGTCAAATTGGTCAGGTGAAATCTGCTGCTTTGTATCAGGCCCAGTTTCACCAGGCACTCTTTAAGCAGTATCTTGAGAATTTAGGGCAGCAGAAATGGCTTTGCAGACAATGTTTTGTATAGGGGAAATTTCTCCTTTCTTAATGCTGCTGGTGAAGGTCTGCCTGCAGCTGTAGCTCTGCCATGCTCTACTCTGAAATGCCTTTTCTCACTTCTGCTGCTTTCCTAGCCACCCACTGGTGGGATCAGACAGGATGGAAAACAGGAAGGGTTGCTGCAGGAAGGGGAGGTATGGTAGAATGAAACTGACATTCTTAAACTCTGACAGATTAAAGTCAAGTGCGGTTAAATAAAGATACCCTCCTGCTAGTGTAGATTAGCCCAGGACTGAGCTGCTGAGAGTGTTGGGGGCAATAAAAAGATTTAATTCAAACCTGCCAGTCTTTAAATTCAAAACATCTTTGCTTTGGCTGCAAATGACCACAGCATCATTGGCAGCAGCTGTGCAGCCTGTGGGCAAAGCTCTGCTGTTTGCATGCCTGTGCCAGGAAAGTGCTCCTTATCCTGGGAGGAGGCACCAGGCAGAGCTGTGCTGAGCTCTCCGTAGAGCCCCCTTGGCCCTGAGGGCATGGACTAGGAACAGATGTGAAGTGATGACTCGGAGAATGAGAGAGGGAGTTCATGTGTAGAACTACTTCATGCTCAGCCTTGTTTGGTGATGTGTTTAATCACTCCACCACAAATAATATATAGAATTAATAACTTCATGTGATGTCCTTTACATCTGAGCAAATAAGCAGGTTTTTTGTTTTTTAATAACATATTGGATACAAATCACATGATCTTATGTGACCTAGACACTGTCACACTGAAGCTTTACAGTTAAAAATTACAAGAAATGTGCTGGACAACTTGGACACTATTTTAGATAAGTTAGGCACCCATTCTGTGTTCCTAATGCAATATTAACTATAATATAAACTATAACTAGTTGTTTACAGTTAGATGATGTTAACCAATCTAAAGCTTTTCAGTGCTTGCAAGTCCCTGCTTTCATATAATGTGCTGGTAATGGTTTCAAAAACAAGTCAGTTCCTGTGAATGCTTCATGTTACAGATATGAAACTTAACATTCAAGGCAATGCAGATCTTGTCTTAACAGTTTGGTTTTGATCTTAGTATTTTTTTGCTTTTCTCCTGCACACATAGAGATTGTTCCCTATTTGGAAGCTAAAAGATGCAGGCAATATTTTTTGCTGTTAGTGGTGCATAATAATTATCAGAAACAGAACTCCAGCTACAGTGTTACAATTTTGTTAGCTGAAGTGTAAGTGTGCTTTGTTACTTCTTAAAATATATATGCTTGTATATGTATATAAAAATAGTCTCTCTTAATTATTGCAGAAATAGATAAGTTGCTGCTACTATCAATACTTCATGGATATTGTGGTAACAGCCGAGTTTAGAGCACTGAAGGTGGCGAAACAGTTCCACATTGAACCAAAATTACATGTATTCTCAGGATACCAGTGCAGAATTGTACTGAACTTGTAGAGTTCCTGGTCCTCCAGTTCCCAGAGAGGACCAGGGTAGGTAATGGAAGGAATTTTATAAAGCCAGGGATTTCTGAGCTGATTTCACTCTGTAGCTGACTGCTAAAGTACCCCAGAGTCTGGCATTTCTTGCAGTTGGGGCAGTTGGCACATTGCTCATGGTAGGAGACACACAATACTGCTGTGCCCTCTTTCCCTCTTGATCCATGATGCCACAAAAGCATCTGCTTTATGAGGAAATTTGCTGCTTGAATATGAGCAGTGATAAGCATTTGCAACCTGAGGGGAATGGATGATAAAACCATCGCTTATGTGTGCCAAGGGTACAATTGGTACAGTCTATCAGTCACGTGAATTGTGATTGGCCTGTTGCAATGGAAATAGCCTTTAACAAAAACAAAATGAAAGCTATTTACCTTTTGAATGGATTTTACATACTTGCACAGAAGGGAAAAGAAATACAAAAGGAAGAGAAAAGAGAATAGGAAAGAAGAGAAAGATTCCCACCAGCTCTTCCCCTCCAAAATTAGCATTGGCATTGGTGAAGTCACACACAAAGGAAAGTCTCACTTTCTTTGTGCTTCTCACAATGACATCAACATGCATGGCTATGAGATGATGAGAAAATATCTCACTCACAATGAGTAACAAATCAGAATTTTCTTCAAAGCAAAAAATGATAACACAAGACCATCATAGGTATATGCTAGCTCTTCCAAAACGCCTCTTTTGATCTCTGTGTCAGTTGAGATCACTTGGCTGGTGATCTGTTCTTTCTAAAACAACACAGGGGTATATTCTGAAAAGGCTGAAGAATGTCTACTATGCAACTTGGCTGGAACATCTGCCAGAAATGAAGTTGGCATTGTTTTCAATGTGGTTATCTACTTTCAAATTACTCCATAGAATAAATAGTGATATTCCATGGGTAGAGGTAGATTATGGGGTTTAAAAAATCAAATTGGAGCCCCGTAATTTTGTGTGCTGTAGGAGTCTCATAGAACTGAGACAGTCCCATAATTAACCACTAGCCATGGGATATTATAATATATTCCATGGTGACTAGTATTCTTTCCATTTCCCTCCCCCCTCCCAGTAGAATTAATACGGTTAATTTAGCTCTGGTTTCACCTATTGCTAACATGAATCAGTACAATTAAAAATAAGAATGAGGCAATCACTGTTTAGGCCAAACCAGCCTGGCAATGACCAGTCAGACCTTTTACAGTTGGCCTTTGTTGCTAGAAGGTTGAAAGAGCTGTAACTCACCAACCCATACTTGCAAAAGGAGCATATTTTAGAAAATGTGGCTTGTCATAGTTCTAAATGCTAAATTCTAGTGGAATATTATAGAATAGATTGATTTGCATGCCATGGAATAAACATCCTTACATCTAGTCTTGTCTCAGAGTGAGTCATTTTGCATTAGTGTCAAGAATTTGAGCTGTTGTTCTACTTTGCAGTTAATCATCAGAAAGAGACTGGATTGTCTCATGAATATGCATGATGGTGTAGTTGTCCCTTCAACTTACTAGGCACCTAGTTTCTGTAATGAGATGTACAATATCTGCCATTTAAAACAGCTGAAAGGTCCCAAATGGGAACAAATGGGAAAGCATCTGGCTGTTTCGAATTTCAGCCCTGTTTTGTCAGAAAGCTCTGTAATTGCTGAGTACTTGGCTCCTACTCTGCTCTGTGAAGCATTCAGCTCTCAGGAGCCTCTGAGATGCATTACACAGTCCAGCAACACAGCTGTAGAACTCTCAAAATTCTTCCACTAGATGTAACAGCTTTCCAAAATATCTTGAGACTTGTATGCCCTTAACCAGGACCAAAGTTTGGGCTCCTAGAGCATGCTCTCATCCTTAGTTTTGCTGATCAGCCTCCACTGTACCATTTGTCCCTGCAACCTAGACTTCACACATATTATTCACTGTGTGATGGTGGGACTAGAATGGATAAATGTGCTACCCATTGCTCTAAGAAAGCAGTCTGGCTGAATCTTAAATCACTACGCGGGATGGAGGTTAACGGTCAGATGGACATTCCTCTAAGAGGTTTCCTACCTGCTCTGTTAATTTCTAAAATTTCTTCTTGGGCCAGTGGGCAAGTGTCGCTCTGAGTACTGTGGTGTGGAGAGTTTACGACAGATTTACAATAATTGGGGGATCCCAGCTGGGGTGGCCTCGGGATATGCTTCTTTTTTTTCTTTGGTAGCTTCTGCTTAGCCATAGCTAAGGAGTAATACATTCCGAAATTGTTCACAATGACAGGGACAGGCATGGCAATGGTCAGCACACCAGCGAGAGCGCAGAGGGCCCCCACCAGCATGCCTGACCAAGTCTGAGGATACATGTCTCCGTAGCCCAGGGTCGTCATGGTGACAACAGCCCACCAAAAGCCGATGGGGATATTTTTAAAGTGTGTGTGTTCACTGGCACTAGGGTCATTTGGTTTAGCACCTATTCTCTCGGCATAATAGATCATCGTGGCAAAGATTAAGACGCCCAATGCCAAAAATATGATGAGCAGCAAGAATTCGTTTGTGCTGGCACGGAGGGTGTGTCCCAAGACCCGCAACCCGACGAAGTGGCGGGTCAGCTTGAAAATTCGCAGGATTCGCACGAAACGGACTACGCGGAGGAAGCCCAGGACATCCTTAGCAGCTTTGGAAGACAGGCCACTGAGTCCAACCTCTAGATAGAAAGGCAGTATGGCCACAAAGTCAATGATGTTCAAAGAGTTTTTGATAAATTCCACCTTGTTTGGGCAGAAAGTGACTCTCATCAAGAACTCAAATGTAAACCAGACCACACAGACACCTTCGATGTAGGTGAGAAAGGCTTCCGTCTCTGCTTCCCTGTAGTGCCGCACCTGCGTGTCATTCCCGATGAATTCAGTTTCTGTCTTGTTCACAATGGGGTTAAATCTCTCGTGGGTCTCGAGGCAGAAGGTGGTAATGGAGACCAGAATGAAGAATAGGGAGGCAAATGCCACATACTGTGGAAAGAAAGATATGAGAGAAATGTTAAACCATAGGTTAAGTATGGGGCCTTTGATTCTGAAGCATCAGGGAGAGGCAAGAGCTGTATTAAATGTGAATATAATGCCAAGCTTTCTTCCTGTGGGCTTAAGATGCCAAGTCTCACCTGCAAAGACAGCCTAACATTCAGCCTGGGAGGGAAAGTAGTATATAAGTACATGCTAAAATCCATTCTTATACAGATAGCACCTTAGTGTGAGTGTAAATTTAAGCAAGCACTTAAATCTTAGGACTGTCTGTGGGATTTAAGGTTAAAGGCATATTGAAATTGTACCTTCCTGAACTTGGTTTTCTGTTGCTTCCTTGCCTTAAAGAGAGAGCACACCTTCCAGGACAACTGCCAGGCAGTACTTTTCTCAGCATTTTCTCAGCAGTATCGTGGCTGCTCCCTGCTTAGTGAGAGCTGTGATATTTCAGATCTCAGAAAGGTGCTAGTAAATACTTGTGGCAGTCTCAGGTGGGCTCCACAGCAAGGAGCAGAGTCCTTGGCATCATCAGACGTTCTTGGCAAACCCAGACACAGGTTGAGAAGAGTCACATTATCAAACAGAGCTCTCAAATGCTTCTGTTCTCAGTTCCCTTCTCTAGATCTTTTGGGAGTGGAGAAGAGGTTTCAGATAACCCTGTCATCTGATTCCAAAGGACACAGACCTATTGGCTTTCACCAAACACAATTTTCTTTCACAATAATATGTGTGAAGAGATTCTCATTACAGTGTAATACTTGTACCAGAATTAGATGAATTTTTTTTTAAAGGATGTTGGATGGCTATTACAATCTGGCCTTGAAAGTCTCCAGGTATGGGGCATCCACCAACTCTATGGGAAATCTGTGCTTGTGTTCCACCACTTTCATTGTAAAATAATCTCTTTTAGTATGAATCTTCCCTTGTTTAGTTTAAAACCATTACCCTGGGTTCTGTCACAACAGGACTTACTAAAATAGTCAATCTGCATCTTTCTTATGAGCTCCCTTTAAGTATTGACAGGGAGACCTTGTTGGCAGCAATAAGATCTCCCTGGAGAATTCTATTCTCTAAGCTGATTGACTCCAGCTTTTTTAGCTTTTCTCAGTCTTTCCTCAGCCTAAAGGTCGTATGCCGTGATAATTGAGGGGTACAGTCAGTGCAGTCAGGCCAAAATTCACAAGTCTTGTAACCACAGTTGCCCTGCTCAATCCTCCTTTAATCAGTTAAGTAATTTGCACATATCTAATTCTCTTTGTGTGTTGGAGTAGTACAGTCATGGCACCTCTTGCCATTCTACTTCCTACATCTGTTATCTTCTTGTTTGTCGTGTGTGTCACCTTGACAAGAGATGTCATATAAGGTATTTCCCTGTCTCTACAAGCATGAGCAACTGTGATAATAAAAATATTAGTTTCCTGTTCCTTTTAGTTTCCTGTTACTCACAGTGTCCCTTTTTCAACAGTGTAGTCAACACAGGAGTTAAAAAGAACTAGTTTCTTCTAACTGGGTGTTGCCAGTGAATGCAGTGCAAAAGTCTGAACAAAACTGCTGCCAAAGGAACAGACCCATTAAAAATAACCTATACTTCAAACTATCAAAACTATCCTGCAATCAAGATGTTCCTCCTGTCTGCCTTCCAGGGTGGAACTACTACAGAATTACACTTGACCTTCTACATTAGCAAACAAAGTCAAAAGCATGGATTTACCACATTTTGAGGTGAAACATTTAATAGAATACAAAGAAAATGGAAGAGAATAAAATCACAAAATCATTTAGGTTGGAAGGGCCCTCTGGAGGTGGTTTGGTACAATTTCAAAGCTGGACCAGGTTGCTCTTGCCTAGTCCAGGTGTGAGTATCTCCAAATCTGGAGTTCCCACAGCCTCTCTGGGCAGCCTATGCCATTGTTAGGCCAGTAAGAGCATATAAGCTTGGAAAGATACAGAAGCAAAGACTCTTCTGCTTTCCAAAGAGATCAGAACCACTGTCACAGATTTAAACAATAAAGCAGTAATTTCCCCATAAAACTTCATATTTTCATAGCACTGTTTTGTGAGGATCTGCTATACATGCTGAAATGTGCTAAAATCAATGCCTAACATATCTGGGAGATAAACAATATGAAGATTAAGGAACTTGAGAAGCAAGATTTTGGGGTATATTATTTTTTGTCAGATTCTCCTCTTAAAGAGGGAAATTTGTCCATGCACCGTTTCTCCGTCTGTAAAATAGGTGTTGTTAATCCTGTGCTTTGTGATCCTATATAAATATGTGCAGGTTCTATACGCTTTTATTTAAATGTTAATGGCTTTAGTATATCAACAGTCTTCCTGAAAAAATCACTTTTGTGTACGATATCAATAGCACTCAGAGATTAATTGTCTGTATGTGAGTAAAATGAGAAACCAAAAGTATCTTGCATCAAGCAGCCTGAGCATGTCTGCTGTGTTCCAGCCTGGGGCAGATTGTTGCACAGAATCATAGAGCCCTGAGAATTCAGGCTGCAGAAGGAAGTGCTGACACTTCCTTAAGACAGGTAGCACTCACAGATGATAAGGAGAGGGGAATAAAACCATTTTGCCTTTTAAGAGTTTATGAAGATGGCCCCTTTCCGTATCCTGACTCCAAATGCAATCCTCTTCTTGGTGTATACAAATACATCTCCTGAGTGTGTTTTTCCTGCTTAGAGCAACCTTCAGGCTGACCTTGCACAGCAAGTATCTTGAAACTGATGTTTTGCTGTATTAAAGAGAACAAATAACCAATTCTGACCAGGCATTAAGTTTTCTGCAGCGGTACAGGTTGGCAGTGCTATTGGTAGAGAACATCACACCCATGATCTTTCTCATTTCAGCCCTTGTATGCTCATACCTTGGCTTCACACGGTAATTGAGAGCTTTTAGTCCCCACTTCAGCGGAGCAGGAAGCACCTCCTAAATGAGTGTGAAGTGTCTGCTTCCTCCTATCTGGTTTTAACAGCATTTTTCCCAGGGATGGGCATGTTTTTGTAGGCTTTGTGGCTTTGAAAGCATGAGTCTGCTTTCAAGATTTCATTAAACTATGTCTGAGTAATGGTATTGACAGGAAGAATCCCAGTATTTTTCTCCGATTCAACTTTTCTCCAATTTAAGTTCAGAAATGCCTGAAAGTCAGGCCTGACAATTTAACACTGGCATCCATCTCTGATAGAGTTATCACCTGCAGCTTCTTGGAACACAGGAATTTATCAGCTTACCACAAGTATCACTGGCATAGATTTATGTTTGTGATCCCCAGTTTATATTACTCTTGTCCCTTCTTTCTTCCAAGTATTTTTCTTTGTTAATTATCTGATATTTAGCAAACTGTAAGCATGATCTAATAGTTCAAAAATCGGTGAGTAGGGTTTTCTAGGTAGACCAGCATTAATTTTTTCCAGAGATGTGAAAAAAAAGAGTTCTCCCTGGCCTACCATCAGAGACCCACTGAGCCTAACATGATAATTTGTCAAATCCAGAGATGGGCAGTGCTGATAAAATCTGGTGAAGACTATGGGACTCACACATGTTCTATTGTCTTTGAAAATAAGTTTGTCTCTTTTTATTTCACTAATAACGGTCTGAAAACTAATCAAACCAGTGGATTGCTCTTGTATAATTTAGTGGTTCTTAATCTTCTTCTCACATTTTACAGCAGTTTCTCTTCTTCCTAGGATCTGAATGGGCTGAGGGAAAAGAGTGATGATTTTAAGAAGTGATGTCACATGCTGTTGAGTTACATAATACCATCTAAAATTTTCTATAATTAAAGAATATACCTAGGTGAAGTGTTTGAAGTGATCAAAACTCTTTCATTTGCTTTGACATATGAATGATTTCTATTTCACTAGAAATGCTGCTGCTATCACCTTTTTTTTCTGGGTCTAATACCAACAAAGAAAAATCTCAGATTGTTCAAAACCACTAAAACCACAAGCAAAGGCAGAGAGGAGATTTAACAGGGGGAGATTTGGATTAAAATGTAAGTTACATTAAAATATTTCCATTCTGGAGACAGATGAAATTACACTCCTGCATAATTTCTCTTAATACTGGCTATATTTTAATAAGTTTATTTTGAAAGAGTCTAAAAGGTGTCATGCCCCTAAGTGGAGAATTTTGTAACCTAATTTATCTTGCCTCTGATTAAATAAATCAATCAATCTATATCTATCTAAAATCAATCTATATCTATCTATCTATCTATCTATCTATCTCTTCTCCCTGCCTTATGTCTAACCCAGCCATTTTTGCCAGGGCAGTGGGAATATGAAGTACCAATTAATTCATAACAGTAATGTTTCACATCAACTTTGCATGGCTGTAAAAGGAGCAAGGTAATGGAATCAGACATAGCCACTCATGAATAATTAGCCAGCATCTTTCCACTCAGCACAGAAAGAAAACAAAAGTCCAACAGCCTTAAAAATCCAAATAAACCTTCTAATACATGAGGATTTAGAGGCTAGGCTTAGATAAAAGGTTGGAGTATTGGACCAGACAGGATTAAATACAGAGTTTTTTCTCTTTACTTCTGGGAGTATTTTTCTAAAACAGCACTTTACCTTGCATGTCTTAGTTCTGGTCTTGGATATAAGAAACCTTCTTTTATGCTTGGTTCCACACAATTATGCTGAGTAACCTGCTAGAATTCATTGATATGGTGCCTAGAATTCCCAGACTTCAGAGCCGATGGGCAGTGAAGGCTGGTGACGATAGTACCAGATCAGGAATCAGGTGAGTGAGCTTCTTTTCCAGCCTCCACCATTGACACATTCATCCTGCATTGTGGGGCTGCATCTTTTGCACCATCCTTTTTTTTTTTTTTTAAATTTTTTTTAAATTTTTTTTTATTTTTATTTTTTTTAAATTTAATTTTTCAAGACAACTCTTTGGGGCTTGGAACTGTCTACCAATTTACATCTGCTCCTTGTCCAGAGCAATGCATGTCTGGAGTGAGGACTTGGGAA